GGGGGGGGGGGAACGGGGGGACACTGAAGGGAACAGGAGGAGTACAATGAGGTGAACAGGAGAGAAAACACTGAGGGGAATAGGAGGAGAACACTGAGGGGAACAGGAGGAGAACACTGAGGGGAACAGGAGGAGAACACTGAGGGGAACACTGAGAAGAACAGGAGGAGACCACTGAGGGGAACAGGAGAAGAAGACTGAGGGGAACAATGGGGAGAACACTAAGAGGAACAATGGGGAGAAAATGAGGAGAAAACTGAAGGGAACGGGGGGTGGGGGGGCTGAAGGGAACAGGAGGAGTACAATGAGGTGAACAGGAGAGAAAACACTGAGGGGAACAGGAGGAGAACACTGAGGGGAACAGGAGGAGAACACCCAGTAAACGGACCGTGACGTCAGACCGGGTTTTACCGGCTCTGTTACCGGGACACTGACCTCTGCTGTCGCCTCCGATCCCTCCGGTCTCTGCGGGCTCCCCCGGTCCTCTCTCGGCCGCCTTGCAGGCTCCGAACACGGTGAAGATCCGCTCCACGGCCGCGGTGAGTCGCTCCGTCACCAGCTCCTTCAGCTGCTCCACCGCCGCGTGTCTGCGCTCCTTCAGCAGCCAGAAGATCTCCTCCGCCGCTGCCGCCAGTTGCTCGTCGATTGCAGCCCGCAGGCTCCGGTTCTCCCGGTCCTCGGTGTTCACCGACCGTTTTTTGGGCATTTTGGCGGAATTTCCACCGAACAAAGAGGAGGATGTAAACAAAAGCCACAACACTTCCGGGTTCCCCGACCCTGCGTCACTTCGTCAGGCGTCGACGACGCTTACGTTCGGGTTGTACGTCACTTGCGTCTGCGCGAGCGTGGCTCTAGGCTAACCGCATGTGAAAACACGTCGATATAAATCAGTTTAACGTCTTTGAACTTTCAGAGGTTTTTAACGTGTTCCTGTTGTTTTGTTCGTTTGCAGTGAAAACGTCACTGAAAACGTCACAGGCGGTAGGAACGTTAAACCAGAGATCATTAATAAATATGTGTGTTAAATGTTTATCAGGTAATTTAAAGAGACACAGAGCCTCAGGAACATTAAGGAACATCTGATGAGAACCAACAGAGTCCGTCCGTTAATTCGGCTAACATTTAAGGTTTTGAAATAATTAAACTGAGACTGTGGAGGGGTTTAAATACACACATCACTGCTGCAGCAAGTTATAACAAATGATACAACAAATACAAATACTCCACTACAAGTAAAAGTACTGCACTGAAACTGAAATTAAATCAGTATGTGAAGTTAAAAGTATTCAGTACAGAGTATTATGATGTGGTTTATAGTATTTAATTATTATTTACTTTAAGCAGTGTTTTATTTCAGTGGAGAACATCTGAAGTACTTTGCACAGATATTTATACTTTAATACTCAGATATGTAAAGTATTACTCTGACATCATCAGTTTTAAATAAACACTTAAATAAATGAATCAGAACCTACGGTCGTAAAAAAAAAAGAAATAAATAAATAATGTTTTAATCTTTGCTGAGTTACAGCAACGTGTAGTTAAACAATGAGTTTTATGAATTGGGTTTTGTGTGTGTGTTTCAGGTTCCACCTCAGATGTCTGATCAGAAGAAGAAGAAGAAGAAGAAAAAGAAGGGCATCCCAGACCGATGGCTGGACTACTGTCCCGTGGGACGGAGGATCCCGGGGACTCGATTCATCGCCTTCAAGGTTCCTCTGAAGGCGTCTCTGAACAGTGGTCTCCCTGAGTCCGACTTGTTCGGTCTATGGGATCTGCTGGACTCTGTGCGGAGTCAGAACCAGGACCTGGGTCTCATCATCGACCTCACCTTCACCTCCAGGTACTACGCTCTGACCGACGTCCCGCAGTCCTGCAGCTACGTCAAGATCCCCACCGAGGGTCACCGGGTTCCCTCTGACGCCACCGTCATGAGCTTCAAACGGGCGGTGAGGTGGTTCCTGAGGGAGAACCGGGACAACGACCAGCTGATCGGAGTCCACTGCACCCATGGCCTGAACCGCACCGGCTACCTGGTCTGCAGGTACCTCATCGATGTGGACGGGCTGGATGCAGCGGTGGCGCTGCAGCTCTTCAACTCCTGTAGAGGTCACCACATAGAGAGGCAGAACTACCTGGACGACCTGCAGCGAGGCGCCAAGAGGAGCAACGCCGGCATCAACGAGACTGAGGAGAAGGAGGAGGCTGTTAGAGGGCTCGCTGTGGAGAGACCGCCATTGGCCGCCAAGGAACGGAGACAAGACGACCCGGCTGCGGAGAACCAACCAGCTGGTAACCGCCGCCACCGCTGTCACTCCCCTCCATCACCTGGGCCCGGCCCCCCTCGATATAGGGAACAAACTGAGTCTGAGGCCCCGCCCCCCAGGATATAAGGAACAAACTGAGTCTAAGGCCCCGCCCCCCTCAATACAGGGAACAATCTGAGACTGAGGCTCCGCCCCCCTCCCTGGACACACATTTTCTTTCTGTTACACCTGTGCATGAGGTGATGTCAGCTGGGCGTCAGTTTTCAGACTTGTGGTCGCCGTGACGTAGCGTCATCTTCAACCTTTTATCAGGACTTTTATGTTCAGGTTTGCTTTTTTATTTTTGAAACTTTTTTCAGTCAAAAATAAAAACTTTTATTTCCTTTTTTTCCTTTTTCCTTTTTTTAACATCACAAAAATGAATAAAAATCAACAATCCGTCGTCTGTTTCTGTTGTTAATAACAATCATGACTGTTTGTCAATAAAGTTTTATTAGAAACCAAAAAACATCTTAACTAATAAAGTTACAGTGACGACAGGAAATGACACAGACAGTTCCTTCCTGTTTCCTGTAAAAAAATAAAAAAAAAAGTCTTAAAATTTTGCATCTTGAAATTCTCCTGAAAATTTATTTTGAAAAACCTGAATTTTATTTTGAAAGTCAAAACTTTATCAAAATATTCCAAAAAAGTTTTTAGGATTCAAACTTTTGATGTCTGAGATTTAACTTTCCTTCCTTCTGTCGACTCTTCCTCATCACGTCTCCTCCTTTCTCGACGCCTCGGCTCTTCCTCGTCACGTCTCCTCCTTTCTCGACGCCTCGGCTCTTCCTCGTCACGTCTCCTCCTTCCTCGCTGCGGCGGCTCTTCTTGGTCACGTCGCCTCCCTCCTCGTTCTGTCGACTCTTCCTCGTCACGTCTCCTCCTTCCTCGCCACGGTGGCTCTTCCTGGTGAGGACACACCTGTGCCTCCTCTTCTTCCACACCTGTAGGAACGTCTTCCCACAGTCATCACAGCTCGGCAGTTTCTCGCTGGCGTGGACTTTGGTTCTGGGCTTGTGGAGGCGCCTCTCTCTGGTCCTGGTCTGGTTCCTGGTCTGGGCACTAGTCTTGGTCTGGTTCTCAGGCTCCCTCTTCTGCTTCTGGGCAGTGCGGTGAGTCTGGACGTGGAGCTTCATGTTCTCTGTGGCATCGAAGTGTTCACCGTCCTGCAGGTGAGCCTTGAGGTGGCGGAACAAGAACTGGCGGGCCTTGAAGGTGCGGCTGCAGACCCTGCAGCTGAACCCCGCTCCTTGCATTCTCTTTGGGATGAGCCGGGTCGAGGCAGACCCAGGATCAGGTGAGTCTCTGCTGTAGTCGTCGCTGTCTTCGGTCTCTGATGAGACCAGCTGGACCTCCTGATCTGGACCTGCTGGTTTCAGCCGGGCGGTCCCGATAGCAGCAGGGTCCGCAGTCTCACCTGGTCTCCGGGGGTTGTAGGTGAACTGGATTATGTCGGTCTCGTCCAGGACCTGAAGCTGGTCTTCAGCACAGACGGGTTCTTCAGGGTTCTCCTGGTCCTGCTGCTCATTCCTGCTGAGCAGCTGCTGCGTGAAGGCGTCTGAAACACACACAGAGGAGTTCATCAGTCTACGATCAAGATCCAGATCCAGGACCCCACACTGTACCCTGACCTGTACATCCTGGGAGATGTATTGATCCACTGATATGAACTGACGTCTCTCTTTATTGATGCAAAGTGAAAGATTAATGTCCTCGTCTTTCAGATTGACGTTTATTTTGAAATTTGAATTACTCGTCTGTGTCATCTCTTTTCATGCCGCTGCCCATCGTGGACGACACAAACTGAGACTGACAGGCTAGCATGGACAGTTAGCATGGTCAGCTAGCATGGACTGTTAGCATGGACAGCTAGCATGGTCCGTTAGCATGGACACCTTGCACGGTCAGTTAGCGTGGACTGTTAGCATGGTCAGCTAGCATGGACTGTTAGCATGGTCAGCTAGCATGGGCAGCTAGCATGGACTGTTAGCATGGTCCGTTAGCATGGACACCTTGCACGGCCAGTTAGCATGGACACCTTGCATGTTCAGTTAGCATGGACTGTTACCATGGTCAGTTAGCATGGACACCTTGCATGGTCAGTTAGCATGGACTGTTAGCATGGATAGCTAGTCTGCACGTCCTGGGAGATGTATTGATCCACTGATATGAACTGACGTCTCTCTTTATTGATGCAAAGTGAAACCAAAGATGAATGTCCTCGTCTTTCAGATTGACGTTTATTTTGAAATTTGAATTACTCGTCTGTGTCATCTCTTTTCATGCCGCTGTCCATTGTGGATGACACAAACTGAGACAGGCTAGCATGGACAGTTAGCATGGGCAGCTAGCATGGACAGTTAGCATGGTCAGCTAGCATGGACTGTTAGCATGGACAGCTAGCATGCGCAGTTAGCATGGACACCTTGCATGGTCAGTTAGCATAGACACCTTGCATGGACTGCTAGCATGGACAGCTAGCATGGACTGTTAGCATGGTCAGCTAGCATGGACTGTTAGCATGATCCGTTAGCATGGACTGCTAGCATGGACAGCTAGCATGGACTGTTAGCATGGACTGTTAGCATGGATAGCTAGCATGGTCAGTTAACATGGACTCCTTGCATGGTCAGTTAGCATGGACACCTTGCATGGTCAGTTAGCATGGACTGTTAGCATGGATAGCTAGCATGGTCAGTTAACATGGACTCCTTGCATGGTCAGTTAGCATGGACACCTTGCATGGTCAGTTAGCATGGACTGTTAGCATGGATAGCTAGCATGGTCAGTTAACATGGACTCCTTGCATGGTCAGTTAGCATGGACACCTTGCATGGTCAGT